ACATTTCTTTATTTTTTCGCATATACCTCTTATATTTCCAGAACTAATTTAGATAGACATCATCATGCATTCATTTAAGAACATTAAAAGAAAACTGACAGTGTCATTTACAGCGATAAAATGAGTCAAGTCTTTATATACCTACTAGATACTAGATAATGCCAAGACCTACCTACTTCAATTTCTAGTACTTACTACTTTTTTTTTGGAATGATGAAAACTTGAAATTAGTAGGTATAAAATTATTAGATATAAGTATATACATTCTTGATAATATTTTTGACATACCGACGTTACTCTAGTAGCTTTTTACAAACCCACGAAAAATCATTTTCACCGACACATTGGCGTTTTATTGATAATTAGTAATCACAATGACCGAGCCGTAAGAAATAGGACCCCGATCATGGACCACGAAAATGTTATCCGGTTTATTCTAAGTTATTCAAGGTGTAAACTCTAATTTTTACCTTTCCTCTATCCTTATCGGTGAAAATAATTCATAAATTAAAATGTAAACTTCTATGAAATTGTGAATAATTTTTAAAATCATTTAAGTTTAAAATTTTTTATTAAATTGCTCAATTTTGATAATGAAATTTGTAAAAATTTTTAAGAATCTTTGAAGTTGAAAATTTTGTATTAAACTTGTAAATAAAATATTTAACTTTCAAAGTATTCCTACCTATGGTATAATGATATTAGGACACCCTGTATATGTATATTTATTTACTCACCACAATTTTCTATCCATTTTTTAATTCGTTCTTCACCACCATATTTTTCCGATGGAAATCGATGTAATATTACATTGGGAAATTTTGCNAATAAATTCATATCACATGACATGGATATTAGTAAAATACCAGCTACTGGCAGATACGACAAAAAAGCTTCAGTTAATGCGGTTTGAGTTTTTATCTAGGGTTTGGGAAATTATTTAAATAAGATAATATTAGTTACATCAATATGTGTGTAATTTAAGCAAGATATTTATTTTAAATTCATTAATTTCAGTATAGCAATAACAGGGCCGGGTGCAAAATAAATTGGGCAGCCGCTTCATAAATACATAAAAAACAATTATGAACGCATATGATATCATGGAGTTATATAAAAAAACAATTGAATGTTGCGTGTTAAAGATATAAACAAAATTAAATTCCTCTACTTTTTCTGGTTACAGAAATATATACATAAGAATATGTCATATGTTTGCTTAGACACATTGCATAATATTTTGTTATTGAAAAGTAAGAAAAATTTTTTAAAATTTTAATTTTAATTTTTAGGGTTTTTCATGTAACCCGTTCATTAAATTTTGACAGCTATATGTGTTCAATTTAGTCTTGAAATACTTTCAAGAGTGGGATACTTCCGGTTTCACCGGAAGTGACGTCATCTCCATTGTTTTAAATGGAATACCCCATTTTTTTATATTATTCGTCGATTCTATGAGTTATTTTGAGTAATTTTTGTCACCACGTCCATGCCTTGAAAATTTATGGTTTTCGTTTTCGAGATATTTAGATTTAAAAAAAAATGCTAGATGAAACGTCGCGAATAATATTAAATATCTCTACCATTTGTATAATTGGACATACTTCCATTATTAGTAGTATTTATTATGTATTCACCGAAAATGTGTCACATTTGACCTAGCTATGCACAAGGTCCTCAAAATTTTGCGGCCAACACGGTAATTTTCAAAGATTGAAAACTAATTTTATTCAAATGAAACAGTAACAATTTTATCAGTCAGGAACATGTAGAATTAAATTCTGCGTCGACTGAAATAAAGGTTTCCTATACTTATCTTCAACGGTTATTGGAGATAATCACGATTATTTATAAAGGACGAACTTTAACGTGCGTTAATTTACTACTATAATTTTTAGGTAGGGTGTGCTACCAAAAGATATTTTCTTTTGAAAAATATATGTATGTCCCAAAAAACTCTTCGATGAACTTTATTTGCTAATAAATTACATCGTTTAGTATTTTTAACGGGTTTTTGATTTTTGTAGCATTGTATGGGTCGATTAGAGAGGTCGAACTGAAACACACACCTAAATGGAAAACAAAAAATTAAAATAGAAAAAAAATGATGTCTCAAATTTCACTTATGTGGATTCAGTTCATTGGATTCAGAAAATTATGAAGAATTTTGTAAGTTACTGTCATTTCCGCCGATACCGGAAGTGACTGAAAAATCATTAAAATGTCAAAAAGTGAAGTTTAATACGATGTCCCAAATTGCAATAATTTATCTTCAAAACTAAAAAGAAAAAGAGGGTTATACCATTGTTGTGTTAGTTTAAATTATACCTAGATAGCACTTGATATTATTAATTTATTTTTATTTTTTTTATCTATTTTAATTTTAATTATTTGTGTTTTATATCCGGTATTTTGCTGTAATCAGAAAAAGTAGAGGAATTTAAAAAACGATAAATATACCATTAAAAAAACAAGCATTTTGTTTTATATCTCTCTGAAACGCAATATCCAAATATTTTTCCATATAGTTCCTTGATATCACAAGAATATTTACTAAAACTTTGTTTTTTATCGTTTTGTCCTAAATAGAAAAGTAAAAAAGATAAGGGGGTTCGGATGTTATGTGAATTATCCTGTACAATTGCCACAAATTTTGGACCAAGCATTCTGAGAAATCCTGTATGTATGTGTAATAAATAAACAAGTACCAAAAATCTTTTTACTAATCAACAATTTAAAATTTAAAATTTTTTATATTTTTTTGAGAAATAATAATTTGAAAATAATTTATGAATTTTTACTTTATTTTTACATTTAAATCGTAATTAAATAGCAAACAAAATATTGAAAAAACAAATTTACTTTGCCTTAATATGTAAAAGAAATTAAACTTTTTAAATGAGGGATAGTTTCATTTATTTATTTAATAGTAAAATAATTCCGAAATTGAAATTTTAATTAAAATTTCGTTTAACAATAATTTTTGTGACATTTTTGTAAATTAAAAAAATTTAAGTATAAAAGATGCTTTTTTTCTAGGGTTCAGGGCTATTCTACGAATTCGTAAATATGCCCAGTTATTTTTTCGTCGAGCTACCCCAGTTTAAAAAAAAAAAATAAGTTTCTACGATGAACAGAAGCCGAGATATTGCAAAATTTACAGCGCGCACTTATTTGAACTTTGGATTTAACTTTTCTCGCCCACGTGACCGCTTGGACGAGCTTCCCCCACCACCACGCCGCCGGACAGTTTACTTAGCGAGTACCTTCTCTTCAAAAGGCTCGTGAGTTGTTAATTTTCCACATTTTTCAATGCAATTCACGGGAAATCGTAGTTTACGTTGTAAACTTTATTTTGCAAAAAATTCAAGTCTTAATATTTATAAACAACAAAAATTCTTATCTTGGCTCCTGTTGGTCGTAAAGGGTACTTTTTTATTTTAAAACTATATCTGTATCCATTGCATCTATTTTCGGTGAGATAGTATAAATAGCAACAATGTTATTCAAATTGTTTATAAGCGAAAAACGCACGGTTTTTTAATGCACAATTTGAGAATGTTAATGTCAAAAAAACGGTGATATTTTTTAATAGGTCGCTTAATTGCGTCTTTAAGATTACAATGACGTTTTCAGAATCAAGTTTGATGGAAAATTAACGCCTGTACAGAGGCTTAAATTTCATAACTTTTGGTGCCTCCGCTATAAACAAATAGAATTGTGCGAAAACTATTGCACCTACAGCGCCCACTTTTGGCACACTTTTAAAGTATGACAAAACCCTCAACTTGTCGTAGGTTTTATAAAATTTTAACAACAAATCCGATAGTTATAAACAAATTAAAAAATAGGCACTTTTCTAGTTTTTTTTGCAATAACTTTTTTGTTTATTAAACGATTTTAATTTAACGAGTCTCATTTTGTAGATAATTTTACTCCCTATAAGCTGTCTGTGAGTCACTTTTCGCTAAAATTGATGCTTTTTTTCTGCAAAGTGAAAAAACTGTTTTCCTCACTTATTTGTTTAAATAAAAAAGTTAGCTAAAGAAAGTGACTCACGAGACAAGAGATGTCTTGTATTATGTTCCTTTAGACAATTTTACAGTAATCTCGCGGATAAGACTTTTTTCGAGTTTCTCTTTTATTTTCGCTAATTTTCCTGGTGTAGTAGATCTGCCGCCGTGTATAGTGTATGTATACAATATGATGCCCATCGAGATGCGTATTTTAAATAGAGTGAATATACCCCCCTGCGACGACACATGCGACCCTTTTATAGAATGATACATTAATTCCCCAACCATCTGGAATGGTCAATTACAAAATTTTTTGGTAGACCTAATATTTTTTATTTCAATAAATATAAATATAAATAAATTTGTCAAAATTACATTTTTTTATTTTTTTGCATATAGGTACCTCTTATATTTCCAGAACTAATTTAGATAGAGACATCATCATGCATTCATTTAAGAACATTAAAAGAAAACTTACAGCGTAATTTACAGCGATAAAATGAGTCAAGTCCTAGAGCCATTTACAAACGAATTACTATACCCCTTGTATAATAACAGTATAGTAGAGACCGCCTAGACCTACAGTTAGTTCTTTAGCACAAATTTCAGAAATATTAATAAGGAGACAGCCGATAGATGTCACTATCTTTCGTATCATTCTACTGGTTAACAAAATTTGCATGGGGATTATATTACTATATTTACTTATACAATGGTATTACTTAATGGACAATAAATATATTTAAATTATTTTGTAGGTTTATTTAATATAAGCAAGACAAATTATATTATTTTCTGAATTACAAACTTGAAAAATAACTATGTGTCATAAGTATAAAAATATTGCCTTAAACCGAACCTGCTCAAAGTATGCGCGCTCAGATTACTTCACACACTTCACTTCCCCGCAATTTGGCTTCATCGGTTCCAGTGCTTTGGGATAGGAAACGTACACTCTAGGTGCTCTGTGGTTGCTTTAGTAAATTTTTTATTCCCAAAAAAATTGCAGTTCTGCAAAAAATTTGTTTCTTTTTTTTAATATAACTTTAACATACCTCTATTAAATTTTGGCATAGGAAGGTTTTTGGGATAACTAAAAATGGAAAATAGATTATTTCTTAGATAACTTTTTTTTTTTTTTTGGTTTGAGAAAACAAAGATGTTCTATGAAATCTCACTTTATTCATTATAAGAAAAGGTATAGGTACTGTTGTATGTCGCTAAAATACATCAATCCATAGAAAAATTGATTCAAATTTTTACTGCCATTGTCAACAACAGACTTTTCGTTTTTTGGGCATTCTAGCCATAATTATTGATCTTGATCTTTTTACTAAATCTATATTAAATATATTTTTTTAAAATTTAGACACCTTGCACTTATTTAAATGTTAGCGTCTAACGAAATACGGCTCCAGGAAACAACATTTAGAGGCTTATACCAGGAATCGCCAATATTGATACCTCGGAAAGTACTGATCCGTTAAATCTGAAATTTTTCTTGTGTTGGTATACCATAATTTAGTGTTGTATGCCCTTTACAAGTACAAAAAATCTACTTGATATCACACTCCTGAAAAGAGTTACTAGCATCTCCCTTGCATCTGTCAAATTTTTTTCTTTAAATTTCACATAGAATTCGAAAATGCAATAATATATAGGGTATTCCATTTAAAGTAAGAAAGTTAACGTCTGCTTTCCGTATAACCGGAAGTGCCATAAAGTTCTAAATATTTTAGCGGTGTTGGCCCTACTGCCTTTGCTACGTTGTAAAATTTTCTGATTTAAGGACAGTACTTTCCGAGACATCGATAGTGGCGATTCCTGGTGGGACCCCTGTATATCAGGAGGTATTGAATTTAAATAGAGGTAGGTTTATTTAAATTGTAAAACATGTTTAATATAGGTACAAATTTAGCTAAAGAATGAAGGTTAATTAAATAAAAATAAATAGATATTCAACTTTGATAATGCATTATAACGGGATGTTACATAAAACATCTGCATTTTCCTAAATTCTCTGCCAGTAGGGAAAATATATAATATAAAACAAAAAACCAAGAAGAACCGAAAGAGAAAGTTTTAGATATTCTTATCATCAATGCTTTAAGTCAGAAATAGGCGGACACCCTTGAAGGGACACTTTCAGTCGGTCCCGTTGGTGTCCGTCCAAGGGAATTTCACTGTATTCAAAAAAATTATCTTAAAAAATTGGAAAAAATCTTCTGAAGCCCTGCAATTTTTAAAGGAAGCAAAATTGTAGGAAATTGTGGGAGACAACTTGATCTAAATTGATTTATTTCCATACAAGTAAGTTATCTTTGAACTATGGTCCAGTTGCTTCTGGATATTAAATCAACAAGCACAAATGTGAAATGTGGAGTGGATGATGTAATTAATGGCAGTTTTCTGTGATTAGAAATAAGTTGCTAAAATCGAACATTCACTTTAAGCACACCAGACTATTTTTGTAATAAAGCACATCATCAGTAAACTAGACTATTGAAATATTACCTCTACTTGCTTGTTAGTTTCTTCAGATTTACTAATGAGCGACATAGTAGATTTTGAAGAGGGTAATGATGGATGCTGATTTTTATTGGTGATCTGTTGTTGTGAAGTTGACTTTTGAAGTCCTATTTCTCGCTTGTTAGGAGGTTTACCTTCCAACTGAAAAAAAATTATGAACTGTAGAGGGTACAACAATTTTTTTATTATGCAAAAACTGACCTTTTTAAGTAGTAATCAAAATTCGCTACTAATATAAATTTTGATAACAAATTAAAATTATAGAAATCAATTTAATTTCTCCAATGAGTATGATATATAATTATAAATTAATTTCATTCCGTATAAAATACATACCTCATCATCCGAACCATGGAATGCACCTCGTTCGTCGAAGGTACCTCCCCCTTCTGTTGGGTTTTCAGTGGCCCATTCTGGTAAGTGATCCTCGTTGTCCCAAGATCTTCTAGAAGGAGGAGCTCTATTTATATCATGCCAATTGGCACGTCCACCTCTTTCTGGGGGACCACTTCTTTCCTCTGCATCTCCTTCGCCTCTCCAACTTGTAGAACGCCCTAAAATAATTTATATATGCAAATAACTACATCAATTTAATATTACTAAGAACAGTAACATTTTATCGATCGAAGACAACTGCATGGAGGAATTCTTTAGAGAACTGTCAGTTCTAGAGAATAATTAGTAATCAGATGTTACGTCACCTGCTGCTAGTGTGTTGTGTTGTGTCAGTTCTAGAAAATAATTAGTAATCAGATGTTATGTCACCTGCTGCTAGTGTGTTTTGCTTTTTATAAATATTGCAGCGATCTTTTGCAAATTTAAATTATAGGGACATTCTTTTTTATTGTATTTTGAAGATTTTTATGGTTCTAATACATTAGGCAAAATTAGTTTTGTTATTCATGCACTTATAGGTAACATTTGTCCTCATCAAATAATTTCTGTTTAAGCTACACATAAAAATTTTCATGTTACTGTCAAATACCTGCTTGGGAGTTGGGTGGCTGTGGGTTGATGAAGATACTTGATCAATACATATGTTCCAAACATGTTTACTTTTGAGATGGTATCGAAAAATGAACAGTGAAGAAATGCTAAAATTTCTGAGTTTCTATCTCTAAATGGACAAATATATATTTTTTAAGCATGAGAAAAATGTTTACATATTGTCATAACTTACTGTAAAAACAGATGTAGTAAACAATTAAATACAGTTCAATTATACAGGGTGTCACACTAATGTTGGCGAGGTATGACATTAGGGGAAGAATAGGCCATAGAGCTTCGGGAAAAAATATTTATGTAATAAATTGACTAAGAGAAATCATTGGAAATAGTTTTCAAGTTCAGCCGCTAGGGGGCGTAATCTACATACCAAAATATACGAGTTGAATTTTGTTCTATTTCTCGACAGAAAGGGTGGGGGAAGCCCTTAATATTTGATCAGAAAAATGCCTTTTAGGATTGGCTCATCAAAAGCACATAGCGTTATACCTCAGTGGAAAGGTCTTTTCATGTTTTATCTTGCGGAATGCATGTCATTTACCTCAATATGGAAACCTCTAGATGGCTTTATTTCAAAAGAATGCCAATTTATGAATTATTTTCAAAAATTTTAAATGCAATGCTAGTCTTCACATAAATGAATTCAGTACAAAAAAATTAATGAATATAGCATAAGTTTGAAATTTCTAACAAAACTGTTGTTTAAATGATATAGTCTATTTAGTTTATTTTTATATATGTATAAAGAAATTGCATACATGTACATTTAATATGCTCCACTAAACAAGGAATTCAAAAATGGAATAATTTACAGGGTGTTTCATTTAAAATAACAAAGTTAGGTATCGCCCACACGAAATAGAGCACCCTGTAAAGTTAAAAATTACATGGCCCACATGATTCCAGACAATTTGTATTAAAACCATGTATATTTTAACTACAAGTATAATTCATGATGTAAATAAATCCAGTCATATTTTTAAATTTTAAATATTCATGGAATTATTTATTTTTAAATCATGACCAAAGATAATTTTTAGAGTATACAGGCTGTTACAAATTCGCTTTTCACTACAGGGAGCTCAGAAACGGTAAGAGCTACAAATTAGCTTAAATGGGGGCAAAGTTGCGTAATCAGGGGGCCAACATTATGCCTCTAAAAAATCAAGGCTAACATGATTAGTTTTCGAAATAATTGAAAAAAAAAACGAAATTTTTGAAATCCGTTTTTGTTTAATTTCAGTCTTATTTGAGGTGATATTGAAAAAAGAACAACACTTTCTCATGGCCACTATTTGCCCTCTATGGAATGGCATAATCAATTTTTATATGTAATGTTTTGTCTCTCCAGGACCATCATCAACTTCATTTTTTTAAATACGACCCTAGAAATTTTATTACATTTTTTGCAAGCCAAAATTTAGATAAAAAACAAACATGACACACAACCAGAAAACACTTATATAATATCACTCAACATACATATTTGGAACGAATACAATGACGATGAATTTTTCGAGACAAAACGTCTGAATCTGGTTAGGGCTGAGGCAGAACAGTATTGGGGGTCATGAAGGTTTGCAAAAAATGTAATAAAATTCCCAGTCGTATTTAAAAAAATGAAGTTGATGATGGTCCTGGAGAGACGAAACGTTACATATAAAAATTGATTATGCCATCCGATAGAGGGCAAAAAGTGGCCATGAGAAAGTGTTCTTCATTTTTCAATATCTCCTCAAACAAGGCTGAAATTAAACAAAAACGGATTTCCAAAATTTCGGTTTTTTGCAAATATTTCGAAAACTAATCATGTTAGCCTTGATTTTTTAGATGCATATTGTTGATCCCCTGATTACGCAACTTTGCCCCCATTAAGCTACTTCGTATCTCTTACCGTTTCTGAGATCCCTGTAGTGAGAAGCGAATTTGTATCAGTCTGTATGTACCTAATTTGTTAATATAAGAGTATTTTATGTGATTTGAAGCAGGAAGCAGTTTTGGGTCGAACTTCCATAAAATGGTTCTTCTGTTGATTTAGTTAACGAAGGACTTTAATCTATATTTGCTATTTTAGTTAAGAGTTATAATGTTCTTTTTGAACAAAATCTAGCAGGTATTATATATAGTTTCATTATATAATATTGCTGTTTTGATTCCATAGCAAAACTGTTTATGAATTGTTTATATCATTTGTCCTCAGTAATAAGCTTTTTTGCAAAAAAAAGGTAAAACAATATATGATACTTTTTCAGCAAATCTTAAAAGAAAATTAAGTAAGTTTGTCGCACAATGTTTGATAATACTCTGCTCAATTTATGTTCCAAGTTTCATTATCTATCTCTAAAAATGGATAAATGGCACTAAGAAAACATAAAAAGTAAATTTTCTCGGAACTCATTTTTTTCGCATATACTGTTTTACCTTTGCAGGCAAGACCTTCCAGCTTTACTTGTGATTGAGTGAAACTATGTCGGAAATAAATAGGATGATTAATATTAATTTAAAAGATAAAATGACGTCTGGGCCAGATAAATTACCCTCATTCATTATAAAAGATTGTATATCTGTGTGCTGTTCCTTTAAAAATGTTATGCATGAAGACAAATATATTTCCAGTTGATTGGAAACAAGGTGTGCACAATTTTTATGAAAGGGAACAAAGTGAATATTGAAAATTATCGTCCTATACCTATCTTTTCCAACTTTACTAAAATTTTTGAAATTATACTGTATAGTCGTATTTACAATGTATTAGGGGTCAGTTAGTGGTGGAACAGCACGGTTTTTATAATGAATAGGTCCACTGTTACAAATTTGATAGTATTTACTCAATTTGTATCTGATATTTTAGATAAAGGCAGTCAAGTGTACACAATTTATAGAGACTTTGCAAAGGTATTTAACAGACTCGATCACCAAATCCTTTTGAAGAAACTTGTCGAATTTGGTTTTAACAGCAACATTATTTAAATTATACTTAAATAATAGAGTCCAATTTGTTTCATATAATAGGTCTGTATCACCCAACTACTTCGCAACTTCAGAAGTCCCGCAGGGCTCAAACCTAGGGCCTTTATTATTTCTAATTTTACTTTATTTGTCAAGTAATTGACTGTAATAAGCTATTATTTGCTGATGATATGAAAATCTTTACATCGGTGATTGCTTAGTATTACAAAAGTATTTAACCAATTTGCAAACTTGGTATTCAAATAACAAATTGCATCTTAATATATCCAAATGTAAAATTGTTTCTTACTCCAAGAAGAGATTACCTATTATTTTTGTTGTTACTGACATTGCACTTTCTCGCTATGAAACCGTTAAGGACCTTGGTGTACTTTTTGACTATGGTTTATCATTTCAGGAACACATATTCACTAAAATAAATGAGGCAGCGAAATCGTATGGTTTCATATTAAAAAGCTGTAGAAACTCTAGCAACATTAAAACTATAAAAACATTAAATTTTTCGTTTGTTAGGTCGAAGTTAGAAAAAGGTTGCATCATTTGGAATCCACATTATCAGTGTTACACAAGTATTGAAAGAATTCAGAAAAAGTTTTTAAAATTTCAACTTTAAAGAAGTTGGAACTTATCCAGAATTAGATACACAATACAATACGTTACTGATAAGATTTGATATTACCAGTTTGGACCTAAGAAAATGTTCTTCACTGTCTTTTTATTCAAATTGTTGCTTCGTTTTTCTGTCTCAAATTCAGTTTAATATACCTAGAGAACATTCAAGACATACGAAAACTTTTTTTCTTAACATTCCCAGAACTAATCGTACTTTAAAATTATTTTTATATGTAATGAGCTGACTTCAATAAATTATGCCACTTGTGTGACATTAATTTTGATAGTTATAGCGTATATTGGATGTTGCTATACAATTACTAAATCAGTATCTTTTGATGATGTGTGGATTATCTTTGTATTTCTTTTTTCTAATTATTTTGTAATTACTGTATTAAGTTTGTATTGTATCTGTATTTAGATTAAGTAGAGATGGGAAATTTCCGGGAAGATATTTTTTTGGGAATATTCGCAAAATATATTTCAGGAATGTTGCCAAATGTTTCCCTTGAATAATCCCAGGGAATATTTTCTTGGAAACTTTCTATGGAAATATTTCCAAGGGAAGCTGCCCAGAAATATTACCCACCACTTGCCGACTGCCTTTTGTTTTTTTTGTTTTTTTTGAACATGTGTATATACTTATTTTAAGTTGTGGCAACATTAATGATTAAAATTAATTACTTATATTATAGACTTATTTTTTTGGCTTTGCGGGTAGGTATTTGATATCTGGAAATTTGGAAATTGTTTCAACATGTATTTACAGCAATTATTTGTACTTTTATTTTTTTAGTAACTTTAACTTGCCAACTACAGATTTTTTAAAAAATGTACAAATAACATGAAAAGACACTAATGATGCATTGATGCACAAAAAATAGAAAAATTGAAAATTCCTATAACAGATAACCTCAATACGATTCCTAAGGTGACGTCATGTAGTTATAATTTGGCGGAAAATTTAAAATATGGAATTGTTCCCTGAACAGGATTCTTCCCTTTCCGGAAAGTTCCCATTTTGGAAACTTCCCAATATGGAAACTTATCAGTGGCCCATCTCTAAGATTAAGTATTTATAATTTTGAGTAGTTAAATATAAAGCACAATTATTGTTCTGTAAATGGGTAACTGTTGAGCAATTACTATTAATATATTATACAAAAAATTATGTTAAAAATTGTTGCGAGGAACTTTTGTATTTTTTCATATTCTATCCCTAATCTTTTTGCAAAAATGTATTAATTAAATAGTAAATTGTACCCTTTTCTGAAATATATGTACATATTTAAGGCTCACCCTGTATTGTTTTTTAATTTATAGAACTTTACACTTTTTTGAAAACTGATAGAGAATCTTGTTTTCTTTAAAATAATTTATATAAAAAGTAATTTAGCATAAATATGAAAGAACATAATAATTTATCTTGTGTGTTGATAATATTAATTTTTCAAAAATTTCAATTTTGACCTAAACGAACATAGTATGTACATACAATGCAACATATTATATCTTTCAATTTCTTTGTATTATGATAATTTCTAGACAAATAGGTTAAAAAATTATAGGAATGTTGCTACGGTTGCAGTATCCAGTATCAGAACCTAAGCTCAGAAATCATGTTTTGACTAACATCAAGAAACTGCTCTAGAAAGCGGTTTTCGAGATTTCAAACTGACTTGAGTGATTTAAAAAACATTGGAATTCTTATTGCACCAGAACCCATAACCCAGAAGAGCGGTGCAAAGGTGTAGGATCATAAAACATGGATCTCATACATCAGAAATCCAAGACTACAGTGTTTTTTAAATTTATTATATAATTTTAACCATGTATTCTACTCATTGAAATAAGCAACTTTTCCATGTAACTTTTTTGGAAATTCCCAAATACAGTTCTTTACTTTAATTCGAACTCACCTTAATCCGAATATCCACTAATCCGGCCCGATGATCCTACGAATGCCCGTTTCGATGGTCTGAACAAACCTCTTTAATTCGAACAAAAATTCAGTTTAATGTATATAGTTCGGATTATAGTCAGATAATAAATAATAAAAAGTAACCGTTAAAAACGTAATTCCCCGGCACTCTCAGGGAAACCCTTTTATGCGAGTCGGAACCTTTCTTGATTAGATCTTTTTAGTTTGTAATATTATTGCTGTGCAAACATATCGATATTTATACGACATATTTTACGATAATGTTTGGTTTTATTGTTATTTTTGGTCTTCTCAGTAAAACAAAATCTCATTCATATTATATGTATGTACATAAACATATTTACATATGTACAAATTTACTATCCAGTAATCCGAAGATATCGGTAATTCGAACTTATCTCTTTAAACCCGCGTCTTAATTAGTTCTGATTAAAGAGTCTGTACTGTATATAAGCAAAAAAAAATTATATTACAATACTTCAGCTCTGATGGGTTTTTTTTATTAATTTTTGTATGTTGATGTTTTTTTTTAGTCAGTTGTTAAATTCTCGTGAAATTTTAACTTTACTATGATTCATGTTTAGAGAATAATGAACTAGCAGATGTGCTACTTAATTAAGACAAGTGTCTACGCAAATAAAAAATTGGACCTTTCAGATACGCTATACTCCACGGTCGAAATTATAGAGTAATTCATCGCTAGCTTTTGGACTAGTATGGGGGATAAAGCGTGCCGGGAACGAAAATCCATTGGCGTGTCTGCGTAAAAGGCAACAAGATATAGAAAATAATGAAAAAAGATAATAAAACATAACATCTAATATTTTTTACGGTTTGTTATAACAGGCACTTTGATCCATTTTAATTATTACAGCATTTTAAAACGTCCCAATTGTGTTTTTTAATTTATAAATTTATTATAGCCATGGAATTAGACCCCTCGTCTACGCTTATGCTATGACGTTTCTCAGGACGGGTTAAATCAAATCCGTTTACACCCACTAAAAAAGCATTTCCCTATTCCCTACCAAGTGCAAAAGACAGAGATAGAATATAGATCGACGTTCAGTGTAACTCGGTCTCTAGACGATTATAGATTCTATCGATGTGCATAGCGAGCGGCACAAAGATAAATAATTTTGAACCGTATAAAAATCATTTTATATTTTATACGCATTATGGTAATAGTGTTTTTATATTATGTCTTAGTCACTCTTTATAATTTCGACCGCGGAGTATAGTCAAATACTTTTTCAAATAAAAAAAATAATGATATCTCATACATATCTTGTTTTATTTAAATTTAAAGTTCAAGAGTCCTTAATGGAAAACCATTTAGTTGTTTTCCGCAATATCATCAGTTAATAATCTTCTCTATGACTTTAGATATCTTTTACAAGTATTCTATTTATTCTGTTTTTGTGCTCAGACTAATAAGTTGTGATAATTTGAAGAAAATTGCATCAATTTTAATGGAGGAAGAAGAAATTCTACTACTTTTGCTTCTAATCAGTAAAATAAATAAAATATATTCCAATCCACCAATATTTGGAGAACAATCCTATTCCAGGAATTTATTTGATACCTCGAGACATCTTTGTTAATAAAATTGCAGTAAAAAGTTTAAATCAATCCAAACGGATTACAGCAGACACTGAAGATGTACGCCACTGTGAGTTGACAGTTGTTGTTCTTATGTGTGCCGATCTAACAAACTATTCACATATTTTTACATTGGTTTCATTTCAGGGGTAAGAACTAAGCACCACTGACTGTGATTTGTTCTTGTTCTGTGTTTTAACAAATTATGCCTTAAGAATGGATCTGCCACACTCAGATGTAATTCAACTTTCGAGCATTCTTAGATCCTCTTCTATAGTTTTGTATACATATAAAAATTAAAACCTACCTACCCCATTTTTCATACAAACCACTCCTTCCCTGACTAACATTTCTCCAACCATCGTCATCGTCATTATTCCTTGAACGTCTCCAGTTATCCACTGACATGGTTCTTTGATTATATTCCTTCCTAGGGCTCCAATCCGGTTGTTCACCATTGCCCCAACCGCTTTCATACCCCGAAGCTCTTCCATACTGGTAACCACCTCGGCCCCTACTTATACGACCTCCTCGCTCTAAGGACCCGCCTCTACCTCTCGGGGGTCCCGACAGAGTTGTTGGTCTACCTTGCCATCCCCTCTAATCGATTAAATACACATTTTCCATAAATTAGTTTAATGAAATGGAATCTACTTACTTCTTCTTCAGATGTTGGTAATAAAGCTAATGGCAGAAGACTTGTTTCAGAATAAAGGCTTTTAAAATTGGTTAAAGAGGCCGGTGGTTTGGAATTTTTATCAAATAAGGCCAACATCTCCTCTCGTCCATACCTACAATATTTTCAACTTATACTTAGTTTTATTAAAAACAACTAATATATAAATTTCAAACACTGTCAACCATTTGCTTTCAATAAATTGAAAGCGGAATTTAAAACAGACTTCTGGGTTCAAAATAAATATAATTTAGATCCACTAGATATATTTTGTTAATGAGCAGAACCGTCAGTAGCATAGAGGTCATTTTATGCAAAATATTTTCAATAAACATACTCCTCAAACCTCTTCCTTTTCGAGATACGCACAAGTTTTTTCTTTATTATCTTGTGAATAAAAAGAAAGAATTTTTTTTGCAGAGGTTTGTTGAATTGCTTTCTACAAATGAGCCAATTTTCACGTTGATAAATTCATCAGTGGCATACTTACTGGGTGCATTTTACTATATTCTTAAAAACATAATAACAAACGTCTTAATGACAATACAGAGTATAACTTTAAGGGCCATTTTCATAATATCTGGTCACTTGAAGATGACTGGAAACTGCAAGTTAACCAGTAAATTTTCTTTTCACAATATCGGATTTGGCATTAGCTTTTGGTTAACCTCCCAATTTGTTAACTATAACTTAAAGTATGGGTTAACTACCGGTTTTGAGAAACCTAACCTATAAAGTTTTATCTAAATCCGTAAATTTTATCGAGTTGGGATTCAGAATTTAGTTTGTAGAAGTTGAGCGATTATGAAAAAAATGCATATAGCAGCAAAGAGAAATTAATAAGTAAAGTAATGCCTAGAATACTTCGGAGACCTAATTATTTTGAAATTATGATTCACACGACTTTTTTGTGAGATTTAGATTTAAAACCCAGAACAGTTGAAACGTTGTTGTAGGAACTTGAGGAAGCAATCAGTCATCCAACAGAAAGGTAAGTATCCAAATTACCTTATGTAATAACTACTTAATTGTTTTCTTTGTAGAAACCTCGCTTTGTCTACAACAGTTGTTGCATGTTGACTTTACATTTTTTTGCAAACGTTTCCTATCGAGCCTTATTCGCGTTACGTCCACAATATATTCAAATGCCAGAACAGGGAGAAATTGTTTTAGTTCGGCAAACATTTTTTATTATTCTTCAATACGTTTCCAAATTTTGTCCCTATCTTTCCATGTACGTACATCATTATTTTTACACTCTATAATATTTTTATGTTTTTACATTAAATATATCAATAAATTCTTTTCGTCTTGTGTAAAGTTTACTGCTCTTTTATTATCCATTGCGTTTTTTGGTTTCTCTTTATCTCTTCTAAACGAAAATGTGAGGTTTTTTGACTTCCACAGACCACTGATTATATAAGAATAAGGGTCACGTGACGAGTTCTCAGCACTGCCAATTGTAGAAAAACATACATACTTTCGGTTAACTTAACCCTGAATGTGAAATTTTTTATGAAATGATATGTCTGGGTTAACTTTAAGGTAATAGTTACCTTTACTTTTACTTTTACCGCATATTATGAAAATGGCCCTAAGTGGAGGTCAGTTTTTTAGGGGTAATAGTAGGTGTGTTCCGCTGAATATGAATCTGAAATTCTTTTTTTTATCAAATAAGTAGTTGTTATAATTAGTTTTTTAAAATGCACTTTAATACTTATGTATGCCACCACTGTGATATTCATGAACATATGAATTATAGATAACCTACAGTGCATATGAACGGAGATGGGCTGGTCAATGGTTAACGAAGCGAAGGGGGTCAGTTGTTGTTTTCCGCAGTGGGAGACAGTACATCTAACTGTGAATATGAATGTTTTTCATTGTTGAAAACCATCTACAGACTATTTTTTTTTGTGTATTTCATTTATCATTATTGATTACTGCTTGAATTTTTTGCTAGTTTACTTGTGAAGTACTGTTTGTGTGATGAACACCCACTTAACAAAAGTAACTCATGGCGAATGGTGGAATTGTGTATGCGCTGCGTAAAGCGGGCTGTTATTTGTACAGACATTACTAAAAAAAGATTTTAAATAAATAAAGTTTTTACAACGGAATTTGAAAAAATAAACTATTGATACATGTTTCCAAAGGTCTAACGAAGCCTCTGTATAAATATGACCCCCAAAGTGACACCCTGTATACCAACACAATACTAAATAAGTTACAAAAACTGCCACAGAGTTTCTAATATTACCGAAATAAACAACGTAAAAACTGTTGAGTTCTGATTTTGCTGGAAAGCCGTGTAAGCTAGGAAAAAAATTATGAATAGTATTTCTTAAAACATTTGAGGATCCTAAACAGGGAGTAATATTGCCATTAAGACATTGACGTGTCATTATTTTTTTTAAGAGAATGCAATGCTGGTGAATTCAACAAATATTTATTTCATGGAAAAAAAATTATGTTTTCCATTCACAAGATAATCAAAAAAATAACTTTTTTTTAGAAACTTCAACACCTTGTACCTATCTCAACAACAAAGAAGTTTGAGTAGTATGTCCATTGAGAATATTTTGGGTAAAGTGACCTCTATATACTACTTAAGGACTACTTATTAAAATGGGAAATACCTTGTATCTAAAAGTCATACAGCAATACTGAGATACAGCATACTGAGATACAGCAAAAAAACATTTTAACGAATTCCTAAATCACAGTGTGTTCTTGAATTCCGTGCTTATATCAGTACATCGATAGATTTTGCACTCCAAATCCAATCTCGTGCTAATCAAATTCACACATATGTAAAGCAAATTGAACCTTTTTCAAATGAAATTCACTGTCATTGAGATAATACATGGGTACATTTTACATTAATATGACATATACTTTAAACAACCAGTCATCTTTTACCAAGTCTTTTACCATTTGTTTTAATAGGCTTTTTTAAATGAGCTTTCAAATATGTTGGCATAACAACTATTTCAAGTGAAATCCATTGCAGGTATTAAAATTTCACAACGCAAAAACTTTAAAAATAAAAGTTGTATTAGAAAAAGTAAATCAGATATCTATTAGTATAAACCCAGGAAAGGGGCTGTAAAAAATTATATGTTATTTCCCTACACATTTAAAAACACATTACACTTAAATAAAGAAAAATAAGTAGGTAGTAAATAAGAACATAAATTAAACCACTTTCTAGTTACATCAAAACATGTTTTATAGAATCAGGTACAGATCTCTGAATGCACTTACTATATTGGTAAATGTGCAGGGACTCCCGAAATGTAGATTCGATGATTACCAATCGAGATCGAAATAATATTGATATATCAATACTCTTCATAATTTTACCATTGAAATAATATCGAAAATCTGCCCATTCGAATCGATATAGTGTGGAGGATCCTAGCTGTTGCATTAGGGTTGCGAGTGTATAGTAGTTTCTCGTAACACTGGTTAGAGTTGTTTTCGCCCTCTAGGCGACAGTCGTGCAACAAAGTACCTGGCAAATTTTAGCAGGTTGCTTCCACCGTAGTAGCCATTTGAATGGCATAGTGGAAGTCGGCACGACAGACAGATGGAGCCATTGCGCTTCGCGTACTATGTACCTCTTTGTCGTGAGTATACGACACTATTAACAGCTTGATTGTTCGTCGGTTGTCTCACCTATGACACATTGATGAGGAGTAATAAGTCCGAAACCGGTCAAGTGTCAAATACTTGTTTGTATATACAACTTTGAACATTTTTCGAATGATAACTTCTCTGATAACATAATTATGTTCTTCATTAGGAGCAATCATTGATATGTGAATACAATTAATACATCCTATTAGACCTATTAATAAACACAATGGTATGCATTAAATAAATACATATAAATACTGCACAATATTACAAATCTTGTTCTTGTCATGAATGTGTATTTAATGGTATTATTTTCTATAACTTGTTTGTGGAAATTTTATCCAATTGTTGGAGAGGTTTAAATAAATAACTTTTGAAACTTAGTTTATACTAATTACTATTAGTAGTTTCTTGACTTGCAGCATACAGCCTACTTATTTCAATACTTCTTTGATATTCACCAGTCACATAAAACCAGAAAGTACAAAATATTTTAATAAAGTTAATGGGTCCATTAAATGTGTTAACTTTCTTGGAATTTTTTCAATCCTAAATGCTTCTCGTCGCTTTAACTCTACAACAATCATTATATTCACAGGTACCAATTTGTTTTTGTTTCACACCAAATAAAAATATGTGCTTTTAAACCAATTTTCATGGTTTGGGGTTTTTATACTAAATAAATAATTTTTATAAACTTGTTTATTTATTTGATGATAGGAGGTATTCATCTTAAAATTTGAATAAAGCGGAACTATCGGACAAAACGAGATTGTAGATAGCTGAAAACCATATGTTCGACAGACATAAAAAATATTGCTCGGTTGGTTAAACAGCTTGTGTCTTATTTCTTAACTGTGGTGGTATATCAGATATTACCCCAAATTTGCCGAACTTATCCGAGGACTATATCGATCGAGATTGGCTTCATAATAACCTCAATATTCATAAAACGACATCAAAATTACAGGAGTCCGCCACTGGTCTAAATGTCACTTATCTCTCTGATTTGATTGCTTTAATAGCACATTTGACAATTTTCGGGGAACTGAAATTAATATCTATGAGTATTTTATGTATTTTTCCATAAATGTTTTTCAAAAGTTCATCATATATCAGATTAAGTAAATCTCTAACAGATTAAATAAAAAAATATATTTTTTAACAAAAAAAATTGGCAATTGTCTGTCATTAAGGCAGGCAATGAAAAGAACTAATAGAAATTGCTAATTAGTGCCAATATAAAAAGTGTACTCATGTTTTAATACACTATTTAATGAATACCTACCAACCAAACAGTTAAAAACAAAAGATTCACAAAATCAAATAGTCGACCGATAAAATAGGGAAGTTGTACTTTCTTATGAGATTTGCAGTGTCAAAAAATTAGAAGCCTAAAAATTATAGAATAACAAAAAAAATACAAAAACTCTGTATCTCAAAAATTAAGCTTTTGCCTATGTGAACCTATTA